TCGTTTTCCAGATGCATCTCGGTGTCTAAACCTTCCACTATAGTAGCACCAACGGGACGTTGCTGACGCCAAAATCTCCACCCAAGAAATGGAGGTCGCCAATCTGGAAAATGCTGACAATGCCGATAAGCATGACCAACTTCATCACATGCCCAGCAGCAAACATCACAGCCATGACCACGTCCTTGCCCTTGTCCTTGGACTCGAGCAACAGCAGTATCAACCTTCATTGGAACAGAACCATCACTCATAGGAAGTGGAGCTAAAGGATATGTAGCGAGATGTGGAAGAGGCAACGTCTTATAATGTTGTGCCAAGTGAAGAGCATTGTCAAGGGTGGCAAGAGTAAATGTATGCACAAGTCCAACAAAATCTTGACAAAGTGTTGGCCACAACATTTCTAGTTTGATCCGCTCCGACATATTGGGCTCCACACAAAGTAAAAGACTTCGAAAACGAATGCCAAATTGCATTACCGACTCAGATGGCCCTTGGTAAAGATGATGCAATTGTTTGAAGGCATCATCATAGTCGTCAGCATAGCTGAAGGCACATTTGAAGATGTCCAGGAGAACACTCCAATCCCCACGAGTGGCTGCGCTCAAACCATTGTACCATTGCAATGCCATCCCTTGGAGACACGTAGGAAACTCACGCAAACGTCGAGCATCATCTTAAGAATGATATGTGGTAATCACCATGAAGTGATCAAACCAATAGTACACATCATCCCCAGGATTCCCGCGAAAGAACTCCGGCCGAACACGAGGATTGGTACCAAGAGGAGGAGGAGTTGTACCACATGCTGTGAATGCTGTTATCAATTGAGTTTGGTTGTTCAATTGCAAGTGCATAGCATCAAGCAATTAGACCAATTGCTACTCTAGAGTCAAAGAAGGAGATTGCTAATCTGCCATGAAGATGAACAAAAAAAAAAAGCCAAAGAAGATAAGTGACAAAAAGCTAGAAGGAAATGGTAAATTTAGACAATGCAAAAAGCTAGATCTAAACCAAAATCTTAAAAGGGAAGAACAAAAGAAAGGAAATGGAAAAAGTTAAATCTATACGATGCAAAAGCTAGATCTAAACTAAAATCCCAAATTCAAACACTCCTCAGGGACAATCAAAGGTGCCTCTCACCTCCACTAATGTGAGTGCTTGAAATATGGAAAGGGAATATAGAAAATGTGCAAATTAATTAACCCAAAAACCCTAGCTTATATACAGAAGCAAGTGGTCCAGATTGAAATTAATCTGACAGCTACCAATTAGTATACGGCATCATAGCCGTACACTTAGCCCTCACACTCTGACCTCACACACAAAATAGTTAATATAGAGTTTTTTAAAATGATGACTCATTTGACTGAAGTTAAACTTTCATAAATTTTATCAAAAATTGTACTCATTTACTATTTCAGTTTATATTTATTGGTTTTATCATATATCTATTGAAATTATCTATAATTAATGAATTTTTTTCCAAATTTATATTTAGCTTGTAAAAATTGTATGTAAACACTTAAATAAAATTAAAATATACAATAAAATGATAAAAATATTGCTCAATGTTTCTAAGTTTAATAACTACTAGTCATGAAGTCCCTCACTCAAGGTTTATGCCTTTTATTATATGCACTCAAGTCAATCCAACAAATCCCTGTAGAGCTTGCAATTAAATTTTTTCTAGAATTGAAGCTTTGAACAAACTTAGAGAAGAAGAATCTTCTTGCCTTGAAAATAATGTCGATTCTCAAGAAGAGGAAGCCAAACACATAGATGGCTTTACAAATTCTTGTGTTTCATACTTCTGAAAAAACATTGATTGTTGAAAAAAAAAATATAGAAAACGGTTTTACATCTCCTAAACCTTACAAATTTTGCTCGCTCTTGATTTGACAAATCCAGCATAGGTTGTAGAGCTGGAGAAACAACAGAAGGTGCAACAAGATGGAAAGGAAAATGACTTACACCCATTAGAGACCTAGCAAGCCGCAATCCGCATAGAATTGGTTATTTAGCTTCTCTCCATTTGCTAGGGTATCAAAGATCCACTCCTGAAAAAAATAGATCAGTGGAGAGACCTTCTAGCTAGAAAAAAAAAAAAACAATAAAAAATAGAAAAGGATTGCATTGAAAACCTTACCTTTAAGCAAAGGAAATTCTAAGTTGATGAGCTTAACCTTGACTTCAATCCCGCCAATATGCTCTGAGACACATTCTCAACTCCAAAGGGAAAGAGACCAATCTACCAAGACATTAAACCTAATAGAGAATGCATACTACGACCTAAAAAAAGAAGTTCCACTAAAACAACAATAACCTTTTTTCCTCCACGTGGTAACATCCAAGCCATTTAGAAAAAAAAGGAATCTGGATTGAATTGCTCTTTTAAATATAGAAGGATGATTTAATAATTTTTTATGTTAATTCTTTAAAAATGGTCTCTTGCAAAAGAGGATTTTTAAAATAAAATAACATCAAAATAAATATGAACTTTTGTATTTTTTCCTTTGAGGCACTTTATGGATAATGATGATTTCTTCTAATGTTACAAACAAGTTTGAAATGGATAATTAAAATGCTTATCATACTTGGTTAGCTAAGGTAAATATTATTTCAGCCTAAGTTGCAACATTGTATTTATATTTTATTGGCTTTTCTTTTGTACTAGTTCCAAATCAATTAAAACATTACATCTAAGTATAATTGTTAAGAAAACACTCAAAATAATTGTATGTATTTAGTTTTATACTTCACACCTTAATTAAATAGGCCTATTATCTACTACCGATGCACGTTGAAGGCTTCGCCACATGTATGCACAGTAAGTCTATCACCTTTTTATTCTCGCCGTGTACATTTTGCAAATACTGAACCCTGGTGTGGGAAATCAGCCTGAGAATCCAGCGCTCAACTTCTTATGAACAAAGAAAGAGAGTTTTTTCTTTTTCATTCCTACTGCGATTGGAGCCTAAGGCTTAGAGATTCCGCAGCATTTGGAAGGAGAGCTTGTGGAACCCACGCTGTGCTGCGTCGTTGGAGGCGTCAGTCATGCGCCGCATCTACACGAATTCATGGGCAACTTTCAAAGTGCATGACGAACGAGAGGAGGTACGATCTCTGCTCACGGCCGACTTGTTTGAGCGTAAAAATAGGTCGAAGTCTTGCGTATGACGATGTGACGTAGTGACGAAGCTCTCTCCGTACGGCTTTACAGAGAAGTTTTGAAGTGTCCGTGACACATGTCCATGGATAGTAAGAACTCACAATTTCTAAGCTTTCTTTATCTTCTTTCCGACGGGCTCGTCTTTGTTTCAACAGTGGCTCCAGAGATAAAACGGGTATGAATGACAACTTGTTTATACATATTTGTGTGGTTTGGATCTTGACATGCGGTTTGCTCGAGGAAGCAGACAAGAGTTTCTTTTCCTCGGTCGCAATTTACAAATCAGAGCTCGTACACTGCGCCTTGATGCTGAGATCTGCAGCGCCCTCGCTGCACTGCGGATTGCAGAACAGTGTGCAGATTGCAGATTGCAGAAGCAGGCCACCGGCCGCACGCAGTGGGTAGATTCAAGCCCAACCTGCGCACTGGCCTGCAGTTCGTGCAGGAAAACCAAGACAAATTCACCGCAACAGGATAGTAGCCAACGGGGGTGAGCTCCCACTTAGAAATCTTAATACTGTTTAAAAGTGAGGTAATCACGTAAACAATACTTTTTTTCGTCATTGCAACCCCTCCTCGTTTTCATGACTTTTTCTATTCTTAAGCTGGAAGAAGGGAGGAGAAGGGGGAAGGAATGTAACAACAGGAGTAAATAAATGGGGGGCGCCAGAGAGAAGAATCCAAGAGCTTCCAGGTGAGTGGTCCATTCCATAGAGGTCTTTGTTTACTCGCGAGGATTACGATCGATAAGATCCATCCAAGCGCCGAATGTTTTGTTTGCTCAAGTCGAGGGATGACCTGTGCGTGACGAGTACATTCCTTCCAGAATCCAGCTTAAAGCTAAACCGTCACTGTTATTTGTCTAATAAGAGGGGTTTAAACAATGCGTTGTAGGGCTGTTCACCAGCACCAGTGGAAGGGGGCATTGACCTTCACCTTTGACGGGCTACAAACTACGAAGAATATTGATAAAGTATATGCCGCCAAGTACGTATACTCTACAAGTCCAATAATGGCCATTGGATTGGCGCACATGGGTGGTGGTCGCGTACGGCCTTGTCCCCTCCATGTAGTGGGGGTTGGTTCTTTCTCGGTGCTTAAGACCACTATTTAAATTTTAAGAATTGTGCGCTTGCGCTTTGTCATGTCAATCAAAGGCTTTGGGTGACGTCTTCGCCACCACCTTTCGCTAGAAAGAGCATCTCAACTGTATTCACAAGGAATCCTTCTACCATAGAAAATGCAAAGATGCTTTCCCTCCGCCCAGCACGCGATGTGTGTAAGATTTAGGGGCTTCGGTACGAGCCGATACGATTGAAAAATGGTTTGATCGAAAACCATTATAAAATATTTCCATGCTAGTGGTCCCTGCATTACGTCGTTCTTACGCGCTCATAATTGGGCCGTGGGCCTTGGCTGGGCCCATATCCGTGACCATGATTGGAGGAGAGGTGGCCATTACTCTCCACGTCGGCAACCGTCACGGGCCGTACCGTGGGGTGGCCAGTTATTTTGGCGTTGCCCGTTTTCAACGCCGTGCCATGTGAACGGCGGGCCACTATCGAATGTGGCCGGGCCAAATTATGGCCAGTGGCCACCACCCCATGGCCAGCCCCGCATATGCAATCATGTGCAGCCATGTGCGTGCCGCAAAGCGCGGGATGGGCCCAGAGGCCCATCTTGGACACTTTCTTTTGGGCCACAGTGACGTGGCGCGATTGCGGCCGCTGGATTGCGCATTGGACGGCCACGATGCGCCGTGCTGCCGTTTGAGGGACGAACCCCGGGGTTTCTTTAAATTTGAGGGTTCTTTCCCAGTATCACATTTTCTCGGTCGATCGAATTGGAGGGAGGCGCGGCTCGATCGATCGTCACAGGGCGCGAATGGAGGTTCTATAGATTTCTTGATCGATTGCGCTGCCGAAATCTCTCGCGAATCACGGTTGGTCTCCGCGAATTCGAGACGATCATATCGGCTTCTCGCGATTTGCCGCTGCGATTCGTCCCTTGATCGCGCCGAAATCTTTGCTGCTCTCTCGAAATCTCCGATCGTCGGGGCAATCTCTGTCGTAGTTCTTGAAGATCGCGGCGAGATCTCTGTCCGAGTTCCTTTCCTTCCGGTCGCGTGGAGGGACTCCTACCCTCTCCCATGGACGACTACTACATCGAATTGCTCAAGAGCCACCTCTTGCCGCCGCTAGGCACCATGATGAGGAACGCTGATCTGAGCGTCAAGGAGCGGGGGAAGGCGATCAAGAATCTGGCCGACGGATCGCTTGCCATCACTGGCAGCGGCGCGGGGTGGAGCGCCGCGCTGGGCGATCAGCTCCAGCAACAAGATCCAGCCGCCGCCGCCGCCGGGTCGAATCTCTCCTCCTCGGGCCGGAGATTTCCAGCGCTGCTGCGGGTCGCGCGCTCGTCCAAGCGAAAGATTTGCCGGCGGCTGAGGCATCGCAGTATTCTCAAGGCCGCGGCGCGCCAGGTTCGTGCCAGCCGATGCCAGGGACGATTGAAGCGCAGGATCATGCAATCCCAGCAGCAGCGACGATCCAGCAGGGACGACGAGCAGACGATCCAATCTCGTGTCAAGGCATTGCAGGGACTAGTTCCCGGCGGACACGACATGAATTGCTCGGTCCTCCTAGGCGAGGCCGCCGACTACATGATGTTCTTGCGGTTCCAGGTGGGCGTGCTACAATCGGTGGCGGCGGCGATCGAGAGCCAGCAGCAGCCACGAGCAAATTAGAGACCATCTCGCTCACTGTGGGGTTTAGCAACGAGGGTGGTGGATTGGCGACGATCGATTCGTTCTAGAGTCTCTCCTTTCCGCCTCTCTTTTATATCATCTCACACAAAAGGAAACCAGTCGCTGGCTACTTTCGGACGAGAACTCGAGCGAAGGCGAGCGAGAATCGTCTCGTCCCGCGGTCGTGCGTGATCTTCACAGCTGCATGCGCAGGCAGAGCACGCTCTCATAAATTCCTACGCGGCTGTGAGCTTATACGGGCCTTGCGTATAAGACAAGTACACGATGAATGCTGCAGCCTCCAAAAGACAAAAAAAGGGATGAAGCAGGCAGCGGAATTCGCAGTTCACATGGATGTAGTTAAACATTGATGGAAAAATTTGGCAAGTATCAGAAATCTTAAAAGGTGTATGTAAATTATGCCTGATCTTCAGGTGAATTACGTAACTTGATCCTGTGTGTACGTACATCCTGATTGGCTGCGTGGGTGGATTGATTCTTTCCCAACTTTAAATTTCATGTACATTGTGGAGGGGTTGTTTTTATGTGACATCAAGAGGCACACATGGGCCACCTTGGAAAAAAGGAAGATGTGGGAAGTGGGGAAAGCATTGCCCTGCTCAATTGTTTGCCAAATGGGAGTGGCATATTTGTGTGCCCTATGAATATGTTGTTTTGATAGTCTTGTGGTACCCAATGTCAAGCATTATAAGACTACTGACTGATGAATGCAAGAATTCAAGCCTTTTAGGAGGAGTCCAACAAGGGCCGGAATTGCACAGGGGACGAAAATCGTGAACACGAACGCACGGCGATGTGCTGTATTCTTTTCGAGCAACTGCATGTTGTCTGTGCACCAGCCATGTTGCAGCTCCAAAGTGCATATGACTGGGCTGCGTTGCTACATCAAGATCGCTTTGGGGTCCCATGGGCCAACAACACCAACAATTGACAAGAGCAACACTGACCTCTCCTTGTCAAGCACCCATGCATGCAACTGGTCCGTGTCAATCAATCAGCGTCACCAAAGACTGGGACCAGCGAGCCAACCAAGGGCTTTCCTTCTCTGTTTCTGGCCCGCGATCGATGGAATCCATTTCGTCTATTAGCCACCGTGGCACGTCGGTGAGAGGGGATTGATTTGACATTGTTTCATAGGTGAACAACACCACCACTCAGATGATTAAAAGATTAAGAAAAAATAATCTATGCATTGTTTTTAGAAAACAAAAGAAAAACACAGGAGACCCTAGAGTCCATTCACCCTTCATCACTGGAGACTCTCTCTCTCTCTCTCTCTCTCTCTCTCTCTCTCGCTCTCTCTCTCATATCAAAGTAATCAGAAATGGTAAATGGTACTAAAGAAAAAGTCCAATGATAAGCAGCATTTTTGTAGCTTTAGTTTTTCTTGTAGTTTATTTTCTAAATGATATGAACAATATCTTGAGTCCTTGAAGAAAACTGAATTACATATAATGCCATCTGGTTTTTTCATGTTAATAGTGTTAAACTTCTCCAAAATGTCACTACACAAATTGGCAAGTGTACAATTACAATACTATATATTAATGATCATTCACTAGGGTTTTTGGGTTAATTGTTATACACATTTCTATATTTCTTTTCCATATTCCATGCACTCATATTGATGGATTAAGATTTTGGTTTAGATTTAACTTTTGCATTATTTAAATCTCACTTTCTTTATAGTTTTTTAAATTTTTTTAATTTTTTTTAATGCTTTTTCTTCTTTTTATTTATCTTCATGGCAAAGCGACAACCTCCTCCTCTTTTAACTCTAGAGTAATAGTTAATGTAATTTCTTGATATTATGCAGTTGTAGTTGAACAATTAAACTTAGTTGATGGTGTTATTCTTGGCATATGGTACAATTCTTTCTACTTTTATTGACAATCCTTGTGTTTAGCTAAAGTTATTCAATGGGAATCCTAAGGATGATATGTACTATTAGTTCGATCACTTTATAGTGATTGCTACCTATTATTCTTGAGATGATACTTGGTGTTTGTATGAGTTTCCTATGTGTTTCTAAGGGACCATATTGCAATGATATAATAGTTTAAGTGCAGTAAATCGTACAGATTGGAGCATTCTATCGAATTTTTTCAAGCACGAATTTGGGCATACTAATAATTATAATAATGTTTTCCAACAATTGCATTGCCTTTATCAAAAGCTATCATAGTCATTGATGCAATTTTATATTTACTTTTAAAGAATCTTGCTTCATGCAGAGCCAAATATGTCGAAGTGGATCAAGTTGGGAATGTTATGAGTAACACTTGAGAATGTTTTGGATAGCATAGTATCTGAAAGTCATAAAGTCCTTAGGTATGTGAACCTCATTTTATCACAAAGCTTAATAGGAATGTTCATTTATGCATCAACTATCAATAATATGCAACACTTTCATGAGAATTTATCCTCCATACATAGATGGTTTACTGGAATAGTTTGTTTAGACTTTCAAAGGGATGATCGTAAAGTACATGAATTTTCAATATTCAAATTAAGATGGTTATTTGCCATCTCTTCGATATGTGTATATTACAAGAGTATAAAATTCTATTGATGTTTCACCATATAAACTCCTATATAATCATGACCTGATATTGCTAATAAAGTTGAGTTTACATTGACATTTACCATAAGTTGTGTATGTTAGATTTTTGGATTAGTATTTAACAAACATTCTTCCACTTGTTCAAATAAGCTGAACATTTGGGTTGCATAAAATGGGACAATAATGGTGCTATAAGTCCTATCATTATCCATTTACAGAGAACAAAATGGATGACTTAATGTTAATTAGTTTTTCTAATCTTATGGTATATAGTTTGTTTATGGTATATAGTTTATATAGTTTGTTTAAGGAGCTCCTTGCTCAGTGGAAAGGACTATATCAAGTGTTACAATAAGTTAGACTACAAGTTTATAAGGTTTGGCATAACATCCAATATGTCAATCCTCCAAAAATTGTGCATATAAAACAATTGAAACACTTCATACAAAAGGATTAAGAACAACTAATACTATTTACAGAGCCACTAATACCTCCTTCTAATATTCATTTAAATCCTAGCCCATCCACTAGAGAACCTTGACTGTCTTCACTCCTTCTAAGAGGAAGGGATGATGTGAGATCCAAATATACAATTATAATGCCATATACTAAAATTAATGTAATAGCACTGTTAGATTGGTTTTAATCTGGACCACTTACTTTTGTATATAAACTAAAGTTTTTAGGCTAATTGATATTCACATTTTTTGTATTCCCTTTTAATATTCCATACACTCACAATGTGAATTACTAAAATTTATTTTATTTTTTAATTTTCATAGTTTTAAATGCATGATTACTTGATATAAGAATTTCTGTACTTATTAAACACACTCACTTATGCTTAAAATTCTAAAACTAATTAAATAATAAAAATAATACATTAATTTAATTTAGAGTAAGAAAAAGATTCACCTTATACTACTTATTTTACACCTATCAAGTATAAACTTTTATAGTGCTCAAGATAGTATATAGATTTTAATTAGATGTGTGAGGTGCAAATGCCATACACTCATAGATGCATTTAAATATTTTCTTTTGTCACTATCATTAATTTTTTGGATAATTTTTAAAAAACATTAAAATCATAAAACTATCTTTAAACTATGAGTTTATACCATATATTTAAGTTTAAATTAACTTAAAATATAATTAAATTATTTAAAAAAATATTTATAAGATATAAATGCTCAAGATATAGGAATAAATATATCATTTGGGGTTTAGACCTTTGCTTATATACAAGAATGGATAGACCATATTTATTCCCAAATGAATAGTCCATATGCTGTAGTATTATAATTAGCATATTACTTAAATAGGGTAATACATACATACATATCTATACATATATACACACATATACATATACACATACATACATACATACATACATACATACATACATACATATATATATATATATATATATATATATATATATATATATATATATATATATATATATATATATATACATTTTTGTATATAAATAAGAGTTTAAATCATAATTGATATATCTATTCCTATATCTTGATACTCACATTGGTGGATATTGCAATTTGTTTTTGGTGGGCAAAGTTTTTTGTAGTGCTTTACTCTAGTGTTTG